AACAAACAAACAAACAAACAAAAAAATCTTAATAAGGCAGCCTGACAGTATGTTTATCAACTCAAAAAAATGAAATGTGCTCTTTTGGAGAAATGCTTATAAATTTATTTATAAAAATATAACCAAAGACCATATTGGGAAATGTTTCGAACTCAACATTTAAGGAGCAAATTTGGAGGCGCTTGATAAGCCACAAAAATAAGAAGGGAACAAGAAATAATTAGCGATTGGGTTGAAAGAGATACTGCACGTTTACTCCCCAAAGAGCACAGATAGGGACATAGGACCACCTCCTCTGCTCATACCAGGACTTACGCAGATGCTCCTGACAATGGAGGGAGCCCTTTTCTTCATGCGCCACGTGGAGAGGGAGCTCAGGACACACTCAGGCCGAGCTGACAACAGGGAACTGAGGTGAATGATCATTTGAAGTCTCAGTGTCTGAAGCAGTATTAGCAATAACTTGCCCAGATACTTGTGTAGAGTGTTACAGTTTGCGATGCACCTGTGATCCTCCAGTTTTCAGATGAGAAAAGTGAGGCCCATCGACGTGGCTTCCCTGGGGTGGCTGTAGCTAGTCGGCGGCCTCTGTTCTGGGCAGGCTTTCTGTTTTACTCTGAAGGAATGGTACTTTTGAGGCTGCCTTAAGGATTGGAGGGTTTTTGTTTTGTTTTTGTTTTTTGGTTTTTTTTTTTTGGTACCAATCATTTTGAAAGCAGCCCCAGACAATGGCAAGGCATGACTTTTGGTGAGAAGTAGATGAATTGGTATTTGGAGCTGTGGCGGCCAGTCTCAGTCACCGTGAGGGTTGGTAGCTTGTACTTGATTTGTAGCAAGCACACTCACTTCTGATGAGGTATACATGTATAGTGTAGTTGTAGTTTTGTGACTTTGGCCTGAAATATAGAAATATAAATTCAAATGTAAAATTATGTTTGCCATATTAGCTTTATATATATTAGCTTTAAAAACAAGTTATATTAGATATCTAATATATAGTATATATTGTAGATAACCATATATAACACATGGTGATACATAGTATATATAACATATGACAATGTAAAATATACATTGTATAGCATATTATATTAATATAAATATAGAGTACATGATATAGCCATTAAAATAGCTTTGACATTCTAAAACTTAATAAGGTTCATTTTTACCCCCTTTAGAGGAAGTGGTATTTTTTATTTTATCATGTGGAGTTGAGGAGTGTATTGTTGAATAGTAGAGAAAGCACTGGAGTAGAGATTGGGGTTATTGCTTGTGGCCCTGATGCTACCAGTAACTGGGCGTTACTCAGGGTCTCTTTTTTTTCTCACCTGTAAATCGAGAGGATCAGAGTCAGGGTTACAGGGTTTCCCCTAAGCTGTAGCTGAGCTTTGCGATGAGTTTCAGCAACAATCTCAGTGGCTTCCATTTGTTAGAGAAAATGCACCAGGCCCTGGCACTCCCCTTTCTAACCTGCTCTTCTCTTGCAGGGAAGGGGTTATGGGTTTTCCTTCAGAGATCCCAGCCGTTGAGCTGGGGTCTTTCCCTTCTCTGTCTTACCACCGTTCTGGTTTGGATCCTGATATGTGAGTAACTGTTCAGGTACACGCTGTTTTGTTCACTGATGGACCCTAAGGGCCTCACTTAGTGCTTGGCCTAGTAAACATTTTTTGAATGAATGACTCACTATTATATAGGAAGTCACAGTTTTGTGGAAAGGCCGCAAGGCAAATGCTTGCTCTACCGCTGGAGCGCCATATTGGCGATTCGTGCAGTGTACAGTGTGTCAAAGGAAGGTAGCTTTGGTTAGGCAGACTTGGAAAGGAATGGGAACTCCGGTGAGAGAAGGCATTAGGGTGTTTGAACTGGGTTTTGAGAAGGGGCCGGGGAAAAGACAATGTAGGTATGCATAATGGCAAAGAGAAGGCAATACACAAGGATCCAGCGTGTGTGGAGAACAGGGTGTGAAGTATTCTAGGAAAAGGGATGGAAGCTGAGGCTGGTGCGTTAGGCCGCAAGTCTTGAATGCCATGGAAAGTATTTGGACTTTTCTGTCAACAGAATGTAACTATGGAAGGATTTGAAGCAGAGAGTTATGTAATCAGGTTTGCATTTTGGGAGGATTATCGGGGGGAAACGTGATGGGAAAAGAGATGATGGATTCATTAAATATTTAGGGGCTGAGGAAGTCATGGCTCAGAGAACAAGGGAGGGAGAAGAGTTGAGGACTATCCTATGCTTTGATTTAGGAGACTGGATAGAGGTGGTCTCACTAACGAGGTAAGGAAGGCAAGAGGAAAGAGAGACGTTTTTCGCACACATGAGTTCTGTTTGGGACACACTGAGTTTGAGATGCTTGTGGTCTGAGGGGGAGGTTTCTGTTAGGCAGTTCAGTGCGTGGGTTTGCCTTTCGGGAGGCAGGTCTTGGCTGGAGACAGTGGATTTAGAACTCACTCATCTATCAAGGACAGTGAAAAATGAAGGGAGTGGGTGAGAGTGCCAACAAGGGCGCGTGGGTGAGGAGAAGATAAAGGCAAAGAGCAGCATGTGGGGTCCCCTGGCATGTAGGGTAGACAGGAGAGGGGGTTCCAGCAAAAGCGCTAGCAGGTGACCAGAGTCCTAGCACACCCAGGACTGTGGGCTCTCAGAAAAGCCAAGGGAGGGCTTTCCAGAAGAAGGTAGCGACCAAGGGTGTTAGATGCTAAAGGGGAGCCACGTAACTGAAGTGCTTTATAAATAGAGATAGAAAAGATACCTCTTTATATAAATATAAACACAAAAGGCTATTGATTTGGTCAGTGGTGACTTTTACCAGAACACTTTCACTGCTGTATTGGGTTGCAAAGCCAGGGAGTGGTGAGTTAGGGAAGAGGGAATTGGAAGAAGGTCCTTGCAGATCCGGGAGGGGATCACCCAGGTGCCTGACGCAGGGCCCTGGGTGTTCTTGACGACTCCGGCTGTGCCCCCTTGTCTCGGCGGACGCTGAGTCCGGTGAGAAGGGGATGCCTGCCTGCGGCCTGCAGACGCGGCTTTCTGGGCTTGAATCCTGGCTTCGTTGCTACTGAACTGTAAAATGCAGGGCAGGTTATTAAATCTGGCTGTGCTTTAGTTTCCTCACCTATCCAATGGCGATGAGAAAAGTATCTTACAGTATTGTTAAGCATTAAACGAGTAAAGTGCTTAGTTTAGTGAAGTGCCTGGCACGTAACAGGCACTCAGTGAATGTTAGCTACGTTGAATCCGAGCTATCTTGACCGTGTTCTCCTTGGATTACTGTAATAGCTTTTTTCCCCCTGAACTTTTTCATGGTATAATTTACATGTTGTAAAATTCATCTGCTTTCTGTGCACAACACTTCCTAATCATAAGTTTACCAAATTGTGCAGCCATCACCACAGTTCAGTTTTAGGACATTTTCGTCGCCCCAGTAAGCTCTCGTGCCCACTTACAGGTGACCCCCACTCCCAGCCCCGCCTGAGGCGACCATTGATCTCCTGTCTGTCTAAATAGAGTTGCCTTTTCTTGGGAGTTCATGGAAATGGAATTATACAATATGAGGCCTTTTGTATCTGGCTTCCTTCCTTTTGATTGCTCTTTAGGTTTTTCTGTGTTGTAGCATATATCAGAACTTCATTTCTTTTTATTGCTGAATTGTATTCCACAGTATGGATGTATAATGTTTTGTTTATCCATTTACCAGTAGATGGACATTTGTTTGTTTCCAATCTTGCTATTGTGAATAATGATGCTATGAACATTCCTGTGTTCGTCTTTGTGTGGACATATGCTTAATGGCTTCTTAATTGGTCCTCCTGCTTCTGTCCTTGTCCCCGTCCAATCTGCTCTATACAGTGTATCAAGAATGATCGTTCTAAAATGTCAATCCGATTGTGTCGTTACCCTGCTCACAATCCTGCAGTGGTGCCCACGTGCCCCCAGGATCGAGTTCAAACCCGTTAACTTGAAGGGTATTCAAAACCTAAAACCTTATTTCTCTTTCACTAAGCCCTCTCTCCAGCTTCCTGCTTCAGCTGTTCTTTTATTCATCCATATTATTTCATTCATTTATTTAACCATTTATTCAGTTAACCAGGCTTTCTGAGCTGTTGGGGATATCAGCAGACAGGACAGCCACAGGCTTGCTTTCATGGAGCTTGCTTTCTAGTGTGAAAGGCAGATTGTAAACAAGAAAGCGTCAGATAGTGGTAAGTGCTAGAAAGAAAATGAAAAAGGATGATATGATAGAATGGGGGTGCCGATGACTCAAATCTCCAAGCCCGGGAGTTCCTCAGAGCCTGTGCCTTAATGTCAACTGTACTGGTTATCCACTTGATGTCTAATGGGGGTAAGCTCTGTTTTCCCTTAAACCTTCACAAGTAGGTGCCCTGCCCGCATGCTTTCTGAGTACTTCCATCACAGGCTGACTTGAGTAACACCCTTCCCATCATATTTAAATGTATAACTATTGTCTGTCTCTTCTACTCCCTTTAAGCGACTTGATAACTGTTGAGCGCCTAACGTCTAGCCTAGTTCCTGGCACGCAGTGGGTGCATAGTAAAATCTTTTGAAAGACTGATCGTGGTTTTAGCCTTGAACAGGAGGGAGGACCTGGCATTTCCTTTGGGGCTGGAGGGAAGGACGGAGGTAAGGCCTGTTGTACGAGTAAATTAATTTGTAGGATTAGGGAAAGAAAGTTGAAGGGGTTCTGGTGGCTTACATTTTCTCAGATTACAATTTAATGCACAGTACAAAATAAGGAGAAGAGTTATTTATAATGAGCAATTAGCAGCACATTAGAAGAAATAAAAAGTCGTGCTGTGGGGTGCATCTTGAAGTCTTAAAACTGTTCTTACTTGCTTTTAGTTTTATAGCTATTAGATTTAGCTTAATTTCTTTAGGTCATTCGTCACACGTATTGATATAGATGATTAAATTACTTGGATGCTATTGTACTGTTCTCTTGTTCTTTTATAATTGATTTTATTTTGATGTTGCTTTTGCAGCTTTCGGAAAATGTGATTGATCGGATGAAGGAAACGTCTCCGTCAGGCTCGAAGTCTCCGCGGTATTCTGGTGCTTATGGTGCAGCAGGTATTGCAGAATCTTAATTTTAGAATTTTTAGCAGACAGACTAGAGGTGGTGAAAATTCACTTGATAGTCAAGATCCTTGGCACTTTTGTCTTTTGTTATTTGGAGGTTTGACATTTTCTAGGGAATATTAGAAATCAGGATGAGGATTTCTTTTAAGAGGTTTTGCACTAGTGACTCTACTTTCAAACAGTGTTTTGGAAAATTTTTTTTTTCTCATTCAGCTCCTGAATCCTCTGTTAGGCTTTGGAAGGTTACCTCATATCTTTTTGTGTAAAGTGGATTACTTACAGAGATATTAAAGTTTCTAGTAAATATTTTATAAAAAACATTGAACTTAGAAAATAATTGATTTACTATTTCTAAATTGTAAACTGTCTCCAATGATTTTATTTTTGAATAGATTTTTTCTAAGTTTATAGACAGTTTATTTATTTACAGTTTTAATTATTGATGAAAATATGTTAAATAAAATACATAGAGAATTGTTAAGCCTCATTTTATCTGTGGCTCGTGCAGGATAAAAGAGAATTTCTCTTTCTTCTTTCCTTCCTGATCCATCTATTCATCCAGCTAATATTCACTGAGCACCTGCTATGTGCCTGGCACTGCTCTTGTTGCCTAGTTTAATGAATGGACATTATTCCAAATAAACATTATGCTGTTTATTGGTAAAGTGGCAATGAGAAAATAGGATTGTTAATCGCAGACTAAATGAGAATATTCTGTGTTTATTAGAAAGGGGGTATTGTATAATAAATTTGGCTACAAATTGTGAAATACATCGAGAAAGATGAGAGACTGCCTAAATGCCATTCACTCAGAGGTAGTTGTGACCCTCTTAATAATCATTGAGTCAGTAGCTATGAATTCAGCTTCTGATAGGTTTATGGCAGAAGGTACTGGGAAAAATTGAAACATAAATACTTCTTGCCTTTTTGAAACTTCTTGTTTAGTGGGAGCATTCAGAAGGGTTCACAGTTCATTGATACTAGATAGAAAGTGACTAATCCCTCTTGGCTGGAAACGCTTTCTTTGGCTCCTGGGCTGCCCTCTTGGTTTTCCTCTCGCCCTACTTGCGTCCTCAGCCTAGTCTGCTTTGCTGGTTTCCACTGAGTATTGTCATCTGATTGTATGCCTTTTGAATCATTGTGTAGATGCTTGTGACTCCTGAAATTCCTTCTCTAGCCCTGACCTCTCCCTGAAATTCAACTTAGACATCTACCTACTCGGAATCTCCACGTAGAGATATTCAACTTAAAACAGCCAAAACCTTTTTTTCCCTTCTTCACAGTTGCGTCTGTTCTCCACTAGCCCCAAACCTGTTCATTCCTGTTTCCTCTTTTTCTTACTTCTTGTATACCATATTTTGCCATGTATAATACACACCCACTTTTTTGGCCCAAACTTTCAGGAAAAAAAATTTTTCGTTTAAGTTTTTTAATTCAGTTATTTGTTTATTTATATGTAGCTCCTTTTTTTGGTATTATAAAGGAATTTTAGCATTATTTTTGAACACATTATGGTACAAGAAATTTTATGTAAGATAATTACAAAATACAAGAGCAGATACAAGGTATTTCAGGCACTACTCATGTATAATGCGTATCTTAATTTTTCCCTCAAAAATTTGGGCAAAAAGTGCACATTATGCCCAGCAAAATGCGGTAGCTAGTCATGTCGACATCACCACCCAAATATGCTGACTAGGTTCTTTCACATCTGTCTTCACTGGTGCAGCTCCTGTCCAGGTAACCAGCATCTCTTCTGCAGACGCCGCTTCACTGGCTTCCTGCTTCTGCTTCTGTGTCCTTACATGTTGCCTTGCACACAGGCGCTTCAGCAACCTTAAAAAAAAGAAATTAGTTCATGTCGCATCCCCTTCGTGGACCTCAGTGGTACACAGCATTTAATTTGAACTGCTTTCCTTGGCCTTCGAGGCACAGCGTGACCGATTTCTTCCTGCTTTTCCAACATCATCTAGATGTATGGATATTTGTAAAACTGGGATTTGATCTGAAATATGATTTGTTCGAGGTAGCTTTTTTTACCTATTGTGCTAAGGAGATAGGATGATGATGATGATGATGATGATAAAATAATGATGAAATACTGATAAATAATACTTAAATAGTGTTTACTATGTGCCAGCTAGTCTGCCAAATCCTTTATATATTTTATCTCTTGTAGTTCTTACAACCCTGTGAAGAAGGTACAGTTATTATCCCATTTTACAAAAAAGGAAAATGAGACTTAAAGTGATTAATTGACTTGCCCACAGACACACAGCTGGTAAGCAGTGAAGGTGATAGTTGAATTGAGTCCGTTAGACTCCAGAGCAAGTGCTGTTAAGCACCCTGTTTTATTATAATTTGAATGATGCCTTGCTTCCCTTGCAGAAGGGATGTGACAGAAGCTAGTTGGAGGGACAAAGCTGTCTTTTAGTGATGCTCTGCTTGATTTCAGGATAGAACCTTCTATCTATAAGTGATGGTTGATTCTTCTAGGTTGGGGTTTTTTTTTTTTTTTTGTATTGGTTCTCATTCAGTACTGAGTTGAAGGAGAGAAAGTGTTTTTCTTCTTGGCTGGCTTCTTCACACTAGTCCTTTGAAAGAGCGGGTGTGGGAGGGGAGGCTTTCTGTCAATGCCCATGGTGGCCTTCAGGGCCTGACACTGGCATTGGCATGGTTGCTGGCTGCACCGAGCGTCCACCCTTTCCCGTGTCTGGGTTTGACGTGGCGGATGAACTCTTCGGACCAGCCCGGGCACTGGAAACTCTTTGAACACCTACCACTCTGTGTTTTGGTGGTCAGGCTAGAACTTCACCCTAAATGCTATCCACTAGTCACATGTGGCCTTAAGACTTAAATTAAAATTAATAAACAAGAAATAAAATAAAAATTGCAGCTCCTCAGTTGCCCTAGTCACATTTCAGTGCTCGGTAACACACGTGACCAGTGGCTACCATAGCAGACAGTGCAGACAGGATTTTTTCATCAGCTCTCGTCTAGGCTGTATCAGTGCTTAGCATTGTGATCCTCGTCCGATGATTTTAATGATATGGTGGCTGGGGTTGTGGAGGTAGATGGCTCTTGTGTGTTTGATTCTTGTTTCCAGCCTTACATGGAAACGTCAGCGAGTATTTCCCTGAGGAATACTATTTTCATCTCAGTCTTTAGCACAACGTCCTAACTTGTGTGTAAGGTATTGAATCCTTAGGCTCGGAGTAGCGGGGCACACCTGTGTACCTTCATGTGCCATATAAATTCCGTCTGTACCATTTGAAAAAGGCTTAACAAGACTGATAGTGCAGGTTCTTTGAACACATTTCCCCTCCTTTTACAACCCAACCTAAGAAAAGAACTAAGATTTGCCGTGCTATTTTGAAATGATTTTGCGTGTAGGCTGAGAATGCAGTTAGACTATGATTGTGTAAATTAATAAAGATTTATTCTCCATAAGATTTAAAAAAATTGGTGTATAAAAGTAGAAAGCCTCATAGTTTGTTCTCATCAGCATTTGTCTCATTTGGGGTTTTGTTAGTTCTCAATAATAGATTTCTTCAGATTTATAATTTAGATGTGTTATGAAATAATTTTTCAAGTCTACAAAAACATTGATAAAAATGTCACTGCTTTTTCTACACTTTCAGTGTCAGGTGAATTACATTAAATGTGAGCTGAAATTTTAATATTTATTAAAATGCTTTGTTCCTTACAAAGCTGTAATTCATATCAGCCCTAGGCTATTCATATGTGTGAATGTAGGGCAGTACGTTTGATGGACTGAGAGCCCCAGAATTTATGTATATAGGAACTAAGTTTTGTCATATATGTAGTTTTGAGAATATAATTTATTCTGTAAGAAAGTGAGTTACTCTAAAGACTTTCCTGAGACTATTTTTTGCCAAACCTTGAACCAGATCAATGACTCGTTGCAATAAGTATTTCCATGTAAGCTGTTCAGGCAAAGTAATATACTGTGTGACACACGGCAGATTGTAATGCCACTTTAATAAATGAATGTGCTGTAAAGAAATTAACTGTGTCATTGCTGCATCAAATTCTTTGCTGTGTAATGTCTTATCTCAAATATATTGGTTTGCTTTTACAATAGAGAGTTTTCTTTTTTAGGCTGACATAGGGGATGCCATTGCACATGGTTATAGTCTTACCTTTTCACTAGTGAATCTTTTGATTTTACTTATTTATTTTTAATTTTTATTGAATTTGTTGGGGTGAAATTGGTTAATAAAACTATAGCTTTCAGGTGTGCAATTCTATAATAGATTATCTGTATACTGCATTATGTGGTCAACATCCAAAGTCAAGTCTCTTTCCATCACCGTTTATTTATTTTTACACTCCCTCCCTCCCTCCCCCTCCTCTCCCTCTTGTAATCACTATATCATTGTCTGTGTCAATGAGATTTTTTTTTCCACTTAATCCCTTCACCTTTTTCACCCAGTTTCCCGACACCCTCTCCTCCCTGACAGTTGTCAGTCTGTTCTCTGTATCTGTCAGTCTGTTTCTATTTTGTTTGTTTATTTTGTTCATTAGATTCCACATACAAGTGGAATCATAGGATATTTGTCTTTTTCTGACTGGCTTACTTCACTGAGCATAATACTCTCCAGGTCCATCCATGCCGACGCAAATGGTAGCTTGCTTTCTTTTTTGTGGCCTAGTAGTATTTCATTGTGTAAACGTACCAAATCTTTTTTATCTACTCATTTACTGATGGGCACTTGGGCTATATCCAGATGTTTGCTTTTGTAAATAACGTTGCAACACAGGGGTGCATATATTCTTTCATATTAGTGTTTCGGGTTTCTTTGGATATATTTTTAGAAGTGGAATTACTGGGTCATAGCTGCTCTTTGGGGCTCATTTAGACATAACACTGTAGAGAGAGTTCACAGTACACAAGCTATTCTTTTTCCTTTGACTTGAGTTACAAGAACTGAATGGAGCTGCAATATCTAATTTTGTAAATTTAAATA